TAGGGGTTATATAATGACTTTATAATGGTTACATATGGTAATGGGATTAAGGGTCCCTATTAGGGGTCCCTCCTAATGTCCCTAGAATTTGGGAAACAATTGATATCAGCGACCCGGTGGTTGTCGGTATCAACCACGTAGATGTTCCTGATTGGCACTCCGCTCACCTGCGCACGGACAGAGTCCACAACTCATTGGGTCGAGCTTGGAGTAACCACAAGTAACTGCAGTTAAATCCCTAAGGGACCAAGTACCTAATAATCATATACTTACCAAAAACCTGTACTATAATTACCCTTACCCAAATCCCAAGTACCTAATTATGAGGTACATGGACCCTTTGGGATATAGTTTTATGTAATTAAGTGAGATATGCGGCAACTTGTGTCTTTTATCTCCAGACCCTGCGATACAGTTCTGTGCTGAAGTCATGTCGCTGAAGAAACACTGGTGGCATGGATGCCGGTCTGCCATTGCTTGTTACGGTTCGAGGCTGATGTGTACATTCAACATTGCGATAGGGCTGGAATTTCGGTGTCCTTACCAGTTGCTTCACTAAGCAAAAGCAAAGTGTTCCTTGTTGCCGGGTGGCCTTTCACGCAATCTAGCCGACTGAAGTCTACCTAGAGCAGCCTTAGACACTTAACGACAAGATCCCAAAATGTTTGGTACAAAATCATTTTTTCTAGAAAGATATAGGTTACGTCAGGCTAGACCCCGAAGTAGATAGAACAATGCCCCCAAGACCCCTCACAAACAGCCCAACAACCATTATTCTGCATGCCTTTGGGGTTTACGTAGCAGCAGTCTGTCAAAGTTGGAAGGGTCCTCCCTGCGTTAGGGAGAGCAAAGCATGGTTCCCTCACACCATTAGGGCTAATCAAGGAAGTAAGGGGGAACCCGCAAGGGCAAGGGGTATTTGCTCAGAGTTTAGGGCTTATTGGGTGTAGGGCTTATGAGTTGAGGTTCAAGTAACTTAAGGGGGAACCCTAGAGGGTAGTAGGGGGGCTGACATTGGAACCAATGGCTAACGGCTCAGCATTCGTTCCAACATGGTTCTGTTGCAGCTTTCAGAAGCGGCAGCTTTCAAGAGCGCTGAGTTTAGGGTTTAGGGTTTAGGGGCTTGGGGTTTAGGGTTTAGGGGTTGGGATTTAGGGTTTAGGGTTTAGGAGTTGGGATTTAGGGTTTAGGGGTTGGGATTTAGGGTTTAGGGGTTGGGGTTTAGGGTTTAGGGTTGTGTTAAACCCTGTTCCTTTTTGCTTGACCCAGCCTTTGTTTCAAGTCTTCCTCGTTTTTGGTATCGTGGATTCTTTCCGCTTCTCGTTTCCAAGTAAGGCCACACAGTTTCCCTATGTACACCCAGGGGTGATACAGGGGACGATGTGGGGGAGTATGAAGTATGTAGGATTTAGAGTAACAGTGATGGCAAAGAACGGGATCTACTGTATGATTCAAGGTTGTGATTATAGGGCACTTGCTAGGGTATTATATCAGGATTCCCTGAACCCTGAGTCCTAAACCCTAATAGGGTCCCACTCCCCACCCTCCCTTCAGCATCATCCAGGAGATGTCAGATGCACGCATAATACTCAAGAAGGTGAAATTAAAGGATACCTTGGGAGGACCCCCCACCCTGTAATAGTGGTATAATAGGAATATGAGAGGACCCTAATATAATCCCTATTATCCTTTATAGTCACTATTACAGGGTGGGGGGTCCTCCTATAGAATACCCCTTAGGTAAACCGTGCCTGCCCAGAATGTGCTCAAAACATCCAACAATCACATATGCAATAATGATATACCCTTATATATACACATGTATTTGCATGCGTGCAAGTCGGGGCTTTGTGGGTAATGAATCTTGCGAATATGTTTCTAGCCAGGATATAAAAGTCTAAAACCTCCCCCATATGCACTTGCACGCTTCTCTGTCAGAACTGCTGTTATTCCCTCTTGAGAACCAATGTAGTAGTCCCCTATATACTCCTTTATATAATCCCCTTTGAGGAGATCAGACAAGAGGTCATGTGTGGTACCCCATGCCTGCCTGCTCACTATCATCCACGTAGAGGCTGGTAGGGCTAGATAGCTGCTGGAGGTCGGTGCCCACGCCACTTCCACCGGCCTCTGCACTTTTTGTTGCAAGAACATCTCAGATGCCTACAAGGACGACTTCAACAAACTCCCACAATGGTGGAGACCTGACGCTCAGCATCTTTGAGCTTGGGAATCATGTTCTGAGGGTTGACCAGCACACTTCAAAGATTCTGGACGATCTGTGGTCCTCAAGTAACCCCCGATGCTGATCTTGCCTTGCACTTCTGAATTCAGCTGCGCACCTAAATAGCAAGCACCCTAAACCCTAAACCCTAAACCCTAAGCCCCTAAACCCTAAACACCTAAACCCCAAAGCCTAAACCCCAAACCCCTAAACCCTTCATCCCAAAGTCCTTTTTACCAACTGGAGGGCTTTCCTACCCATGTCATGTTGCAGCCGAAGAGCAACGACGGTACCGGAACCGCCAGGAGGAAGAGAGTACTTCATCACGCGATGCTGCCCCGTGTCAGCCACGTAGACAAAGGAGTCTGAGGTGGCAAACACAGCCTCCAAGATCCAGAGTTGTGGGTTTTGTTAGGGTTTTAGGGTTTAGGGTTAGGGGAAGATCCAGAGCTCAGGGTTGACCCTCAGTCAGCTAGGTAATGTTGGGATTATATAGGGCAGAATGAATAATCAATGGGAAACTGGAAAACAAAATGGAAAATGATATTAAAAAAAAGTACGGAATATATTGGGGTTATGTAGGGGTTGTATAGGGAACCCTAGATTTCGGCTCTAAACCTTACATCACTTGCTGACAAGCAGGGATTGATGCTCACAGACAGTAGGGCGATTGGGCTAACGCTCTCCCACCAAAACTATGATTATCATACGCCTTCTAGAGGGTCCGTATGTGTTGGGGAGGCCGAAGCACCTTATCATGGGTTCAACTAGTACCCCCCTCTGTACTACCCCCCCTAGGTTCCCCCTTAATTGACCTTAATTAAGCCTAATTATCCCTGAATAACCTTAATTAAGGGGGGAACCTAGGGAGGGTAGTATAGAGGTGGGTACTAGTTGAACCCATAACCTTAGTAAGAAGCACCCTAAACCCGAAACCCTAAGCCCTAAACCCTAAACCCATAACCTTAGTAAGAGGGAGTTCTGGCACCACATACCTCATTTACTGCGGCCCATGCCCTGAAGCTTTGCGTACTGGCGGTTAATCGAAAAAAAGATGATAGATCCCTTGCCCAGAGGGTCCACATATACAACCATTAGGGCATTGGGACCCATAGTTCCTTCTATAGTATGGTATTTGGGGGCCTAATTCCCTAATAGTTGTATATATGGACCCTCTGGGTTGGTAATCCGTTTAATCCACGAAAGCACTCCCCATGCTCGACTCCTTGACTCCCCACCACCTGGACGCCTGTACGTACCCAACACCTTTTTCGAGGGCACCAAATTCTTCATAGAAGAGATGCTAGACGTTGAGATAGGAAACCCGTAAGCAGTATGGTACCGAGGTCTAGGTAAGCCTACACCCTACATCCTATACCATACGCCCTAAACTAAGAACAACCTCTGAACCTTTAGTCTTTCACCCGCCTCTGGGCGGATGAGATCACCTGAAGAGGGCGAGTACAGGTGAGCCTACGGTTTAAGGTTTAGGGCCGGCTGGGGATTAGGGTCTGGGAGCTTGCACTCATCTATGGTGCAAGCTACTCACGGGGCCATGTGTAGTTGATCCAGTTAGGGGTGTGGGCCAGTAGATGATATTGCGTACTTCGACCCTTACAGTCGGGCCCTACACCCGAAACCCTGAACCCAAATAGTTGACAAAAGTATCCATTTGATACACTTGCAGAACTATAGCTCGCTATGTTACAATGCCCCATTCCTGTTTAAAGTTACCCTGCAGCGTACCCTTTTTACAGCATGCACATGCTTCACACTGCTTTACTTGCAGTTGTGAGAAACATGACCCAGAGCCTAAGAATGATGATGAGGGATCCTGGGAGCAATAGCAATACGGTTTAGGGTTTAGGGCACACTTGGCAAACATCCGGAGGCTCTGATGCAGTTCTGCCAGGTGGGGTTTGGAGATTCCTGGGCTCTTTAGCTCCCCTCATTATATTGATATAGATTATCCCTAGCTCCTTAGCTCCCCCAGAAAGTATGGGTAGTCATGCATGTTTGGTCAGAGATTTCAGTGTAGCACTATAATTCTTACGACTCAGGTCCCGAGTACTCAATTATGGGGCACTTGAACTCTACGCCTCAGCCCTGAAGCATACAGCGGTTTAGATCTTAGGGCTTCAAATTTCCTCGCCATACCCAACTACACCTATTTTAAATTTTTCAAAAGTTATTGTGGAGCCCTGAGGACGTAGTAACTCCAAATTTAAATCATAAGGACACTCCTAATGCAGAGCCTCCATAACTTACGATATTGTCCCGGCATACCCCTGTAGAATCATAGGCCAACATATTGCAATGACAGATTCATGTTAAAGATTCCCCTTACAGCATCCACATTTTAACTTTCTGGGGGTTAGTAAGGAAGAAGGGGACATCTTGCACATTGATTGATTATTCTCCCTTCTTCTTGACAAGATAATCTTCCAGTAAGATGTGGGGGATGTATATCGTCGGAACGTATAATGTTCGTCGAGGGCTTTCATGCTCCCTATGAAAGATGGTATCGAGATGCTATTGCGACATGGCCCTATGACAGCTTGCTGCTCTATGAGATATACACATAATCTGGACATAATTTTGGTAGACATTTCAGTCCTTACATTGCTCTGAGGGTACGTAGTTCAGGCAACAACAACAGCGTTGCAATAACAACCCAGTGAGGCATGTCTCCGCCCCATGGTATCCTACAGGCCCCTACAGACTCAAACCAGGACCCTGTGGCCTGCGATTGTTGAGGTGCCAGACCCACTGATCCACTGAATGCGGTTATTTCCCGTATCCTTCGCAGGCTGCGGCGCGGGCTTGCAAGTTTTGAGATGTGCGAAGTCTTTGGTCGATTTAGGGTTTCGGGTTTAGGGTGCCTGATGATGTGCGCAGGGTTCTGGTTTCTGGGGCCAGGAAAGTACGCAGAGACAAAGATGCGAACGACAAAGAACGCACCATGTAGTAGCACCAACAATTGGGCTAGCGTTTGGGGTCCATTTCACGATAACAAGACAGTGGCGTAAAGGGGATAGTCTTGTTGAGGGCTCAGTGCATACAATCGCTGTTCCCCGCGCACATGCATGCATGCATGCATGCATCATGTATACATAATGTATGTATGTATGTATGTATGTATGTATGTATGTTGAAAACTAAAATTCCGGTTTTCCATTTGACCCTTCATGATTAACGTTGACCCCCGAACCCTTGGTTTATGCGCAAACGAGGGAGTATCCTGTCTGCTCTAGCCCAGGTGGTTCGGAGATTGTGGTGTGAGGGTACAAGTCTTTAGGATTGGGCGGACTGGCGATCATTGAAGCTGCCTGAGGCCCTCCTGCCACTGCGAAGGCTCCGGCAAGGGCCAGCAGACAATACACAAATCGTTCGGGGAAAGTCCGATTGCATGTGCATTCTCCGAAGTAGAAGTTGCAAGGATCGCAGATAAGCCCAACAAACATGTTGAAGAACTCCACTTCAGCAACCGTTCGCTTTGGAAGCATCCAATGAATTCTGCTTTTCCCTAAGGGTCCAAGGACCCAAATAGTAGGGTTTTAGGGCCCAAATACCATTAATATTATGGTATTTGGGGCCCTAAAACCCTGTTATTTGGGTCCTTGGACCCTTAGGGTTTTGTTTTCAAACAGCAGTCCCTTCCCTTCAGGACTTTTCTCCAGGGCTCGGCGATGAAAACTTCTCCGGCCAAGTTGACGAAAACTCCATGGGGATCCCGAAGCTGATGTTGACCTGGCGGTTTAGGGTTTAGGGCTTAGGGTTTAGGGTTTAGGGCTTAGGGTTTAGGGTTTAGGGTTTAAGACTGCAAAGCCTAGACTCCCCCATGTCCCCTACAAGCCTCCCATGGCACCCCCATCCCTTGACCGCCAACATTGCCCACCCCTCTTTAACCTTACTAGCGCTTAGTAGGGAATAATAAGTGGAGTATAATCCCCGTATACTTCCTATACCATGTATTGCCTTACTCCCTACTAACCCCCAGCAAGTAACCCTAAACCCCTCCCAAATCCCCAACACACCTATGCCGGCTCGGCAGCAGTTTGTCTCGTAGCCGCGCACCTGCCCCTGACGATCCTGAGAATTAGGGTTTGGGGATTGGGGTTTAGAGATTATGGTTTGGGGATTTCGTTTTAGGGTTTCGAGTGTAGGAGGATTTTTCTTGCACAGGGCTGAATCATTGTAGCAATAATGGCACACCCTAAACCCTAAACCCTAAAGTGTATAATAGGAGGAAAAGCAAAGTACCATTAAGAGCTTTAGCAACAGGACTAGAAGATGCAACAGGTCAAGGTAAAAGCTTTTCAGGCTGGTTGAGGGTTTAGGGGTTAGGGGCTTAGGGTTCAGGGGATTAGGGTTTAGGGGTTTAGGGTTTAGGGTTGAGGGTTTACAATTTCTTGCTTGTCTGAAATGGGACTTTCATTTGCACATGCACCTAGATGAGGATCACTATGCCGTCCACGGCAAAACACATTGGGACCTGGAGTCAAAGGCGACAAGAACCCTTCCGCAGGGCGGGCAATCCAAATGCAGTTCTGACAAATGCCCCTCAGAAGTCCGTACCTTCGCATACATCCACCAAGAAGGGACTCTGCAGGTACAGCCATGTCTCATACATAACACCAAGCTCTCCAGCGATCAGCACCCCAACTGTGGCGCCTGACGGGATCCAGAAGTTTACGGTTTTATGGGGTTTGGGATTTAGGGTCTAGGGTAGGGGGTTTTAGTCTATGGCTCAGGGTATTTCCGGGTTGAGCTGCTTGAGGAGTAAGTTCAAGCTCAAGAACTTAGAGGCCAAGCAAAAGCTTGGTGCAAACAAGTACTACTTTCAAAGGGGCCGTCTCTCAGGCTTCACAGACTAGCTATAATTCTTGGCAGCAAGAGGCACG